TGGTCCTAACACAGAACCCTGAGGAACTCCATAAGCAACTCTGGTGCGGCTGGAAGAACCATCATTAACATGAACAAACTGGAATCTGTCTGATAAATATGATTTAAACCAGTTCAGCGCAGTCCCTTTAAGTCCAATCGCATGTTCCAGTCTCTGCAATAGGATGCTATGATCAACAGTATCAAATGCTGCACTAAGATGTTAGTGCACATCTTAGTGAGTATACCCCTGTGCAAAATCACTTGAAGATAAAATGATTCCAGACTGCATCAGCTCTCAATAATTGCATGATTTCTAAATTAGTGTTTCCATTATGAACCATCCAAACAACTCTTTAGACAGACTATACTGAAAATTCATGTCTCAAAGTAGCACTCAGTGCAACAAAAGTGAATACATCTGTAATCTCACATACAATTTAGAAAACCTGTGATTGCTGAAACAAAATTTAGGACACCTGTGATTTCCAATTAGGCTAATGACATTAACAGGTTTATAAAATAAACTGTGAACACCAGAACCTTCTCAGTTTTGGACCTGTGGACTGTGTCTATCTATGTCTGCATTAATGCTCTACGTGGAAAAGAACTGCACTGACTTCAGAAAGATGGGAAAAGATAGAGGAAGATTGGTGACCAACTAAAGATCGGTGGAAACACACTTGCAGATGACTCCCAAGATACATTTCTTTGACTCAGATGAGGTCCAGCATGTGTCATGTCAACTTAGACATGAATGCATAACAGTCAAGCACAGAGGTGGGAGTGTGATGATATGGAACTGCATGGTTGTAAAATGTTTGTGGACATCACATTTAGAGGTGGCACCATGAATACCTGTGGATGTAAAACAGTGGTTGACAAGATGACTCACATTCTGCAAAAGTTTAGCAGAAGAGAAATATTCCAGCAAGATAATGACATAAAGCACACTGTCAAAATCACAGTGAAAGCTTAGACCTGGCCAAGTACTTAGTAAATGAGAACTTAGAAGGTAATGCAATGACTTTAAGTGAAACAGTGTTGAATCATTCAACATTTAGGTGATATTACAGGGGGTACAGCAAGATGTGTATTTTTGACAGGTTTTCTTTTTCAGATTCTGACTCCATTCCTGCTGAGGAGGCTGAAGTCAGATGTCACGCTGGAGGTTCCACCTAAGAAGGAGATTGTAGTTTATGCTCCTCTGACTGCCAAACAGGAGGCCTTTTACACTGCTGTTGTCAACAAGACTATCACGAAGATGCTGGGTCAGGAAAAGGTAAAATTATGTAACATACATATACATAAATATTTCAAAACATTTTCAGCACCAGCAGAAAATGTGACAGGAGAACGATTGTTCAATTCAATTCAATTCCATTTTATTTGTATAGCGCATATTTACAACAACGGTCATCTCATAGCGCTGTTGTTCTTAAGTTATTTTTCAATAGTGTTCTACATCTGTATTGCAGTTGGTCCGCCGATGTTGAGCATGAATGTCTTTATAAACACTCTGAAAAGGGCCACCACGCACGTGGAATTTTAGTTTGGGAAATAGATAGAGGTCAGATGGTGCCAGGTGAGTAAGGTGTATGGGGCAACAGTTCAAAGCCATGTTTGGCTGCTTTTGCCACCAGTGCTGTGTGGATGACACATTGTCCTGGAGCAACAGCAGCCGTGTTCCTAAATGGGACTTGTGCTTCTTGTTTCTGAGTGAGGCCTAGAACATTTTGAAGTATCTTCGTAGACTGTCAGGGTCTGGACTGTAAATTTTGGGAGGTTCTGAGCCCTGATAGCTGTGTCACTGTACCAACAACCACATTTAAAACCTGCTTTTTAGTCGGTGGATAATAGGATATTGCAAATATATTGATGTCAACTCAAATAATATATCTAGTGTACTCAGTATATATATATATATATATATATATCCAGTCTCTTAAAAGTGTTTTAAGAGATCTTAAACAAAAATTAAGATCTGTACCAATTTAAGGGCTGGTGATCGTTAATTATCTGTTTATCCAATTATAAATATCAGCTGAAACTGATGTCTTCATGTCCAGTATCAAGCACCTTGGATCATCTTAAATCTGAAAGGTGATACATAAATTAGCAGCAGGTGGCTGAGCTCTGCCTAATCAGTGTGGCCTTGTCCTCCCTGTGAACCTACATTATTATGCCTAGGTTGACTTAAAGGATTCATAGCAGTCTTTTACTGTTTGTAGTTTAATCCCTATCAAGATAGTGCCAGTGGGTGCCAAGTGTGTAAAAATGTTCTGTTCTCCTGATATATTTAGACCGAGGCTCCTGTGGTATTAACATCAAGCGGAAGACCAAAGCGTCGTACTCGAAAAGTAGTAGACTACAAAGAAACGGATGCAGACACACCATACAACCTGGAGAAATATCTGGAGAGGGTTCGCAAGGAGCTCGATCAGAGGTCAGCACTGCTTACCCACGTCTCAGCCGCAGACTAAAATCAATGAAAATAACTGATGCTTTCTGGGCCATTACTCAGCTGATGAGCTTTATTTCTTTATCTTGCTGATGTCACTCACTCATTTATTTGCATTAATCTCAATAACCTGTTTTTCTTCACTGCTGCTAAATGATGGTGTAACATTTGCTTAAAAGTGCAGGTTGCTAACAAACCTTGCCATGTCACAGTTTCCGTGTTTGCATTGGAGAATGAGAATTAGTTTAACTCAGTGGATCTTAACCTTTTTGTGGTTAGTGTTAAACCTTTTAGAGGATGAAATATGTCCTTAAAAATATTAAATGGGAACTGTCATTTGTGCAAAGGTTTGGACACCTTCTGCTGTTCAGGCTGGTCTCATTAACTTATTAGGCTTTTACTGACTCCTTGGGACTGTAAGGCAGGTCAACAATAGTCTCGCATACAGAGCTGTGAAAAAGTATTTGCTCTCCCCCCACAGATATCTTCTATTTTTTCACATTTGTCACCCCTAAATGTTTCAGATCATCAAACTTATTGCAATATGACACAAAGATAACTCAAGTAAACGCAAAATGCAATTTTTAAATGATTCCATTTATTGAAGGAAAAGTGCCATCTAACCCCACCTTTCCCTCTGTGAAAAAGTAATTGCCCCCTTTTTCACCTGTCTACCAAATGAACTAATTCGTTTGGCAACTGGGTTTATGTTATGTATGATCACTGCCAGGCTTGTTGAATCTAAACATCACTTAAACAGAACCTGTCTGGCTTTGTGAAGTAGCTAAAGGGTCTCAAAAAGCATGATGCCACGTTCCAAAGAGATTCAAGAACAGATGCACAACAAAGTCACTGGCATTTATCAGTCTGGAGGGTTACAAAGCCATTGTTAGAGTTCTGAGATGCCAGATAACCACAGTGAGAACCTATCTACAAATGGAGAAAGCATGGAACAGAAGTGAACCTTCCCAGGAGTGGATGGCCTACCAACATTTCCACAAGAGTGCATCAACCTCAATCTTACAGGAGGTCACAAAAGAACCCAGATGAGCATCAAAAGAACTGCAGGTCTCCCTTGCCTCAGTTACGGTCAGTGTTCATGATTCCACAATAAGGAAGACACTGGGCAGAAATGGAATCCATGGCAGAGTTCCAAGACACAAACTACTTTGACCAAAAAAAAAAACACGAAGGCTTGGCTACCATTTGCAAAAATCATATCTGGATGAGCCCCAAGACTTAAGGATAACATCCTGTGGACTGATGCATTACAGGTGGAATTTTATGGAGGACATGGGTCCTGTTACATCTGGCCTAAAGCTAACACTGCATTCCACAAGGAGAACATCATACCAGCAGTACAACACGGTGGTGCTAGTGGATGGTTTGGGGCTACTTTGCTTCCACAGGACCTGGACAACTTGTCATCAGTAATGGAAACCACAAATTCTGCTTTCTATCAGAAAATCCTCCTGGAGAACATCCGCCCGTCAGTTCATGACCTAAAGCTCAAGTGCAAATGGGTTATGCAGCATGACAATGACTCAAAGCGCACAAGCAGGTCCACCTCTGAATGGCTCCAAAAGAACAAAATTAAGGTTTTGGAGTGGCCGAGTCAAAGTCTGTACTTGAATCTAATTTAGATACTGTGAAAAGACCTTCAAAGGGCAATTTGGGCTCAAAAATCATCTTATGTGGCTGAATTAAAGCTATTCTCCAGAGAAGAGTGTGCCAGAATTCCTCCATGTTGATGTAAAAGACTGATAACAAGCTATGGCAAGCGGTTAACTGCAGTTGTTGATGCTGAGTGTGAACCAACCAGTTGTTAGGTTTAGGGGGGCAATTACTTTTTCACAGAAGTGATTTTTTTTTTTTTTTTTTTTTTAAATCTTCAGTAACTCATTATTTAAAAACTGCATTACTATGTAATATGATCTGGAACATTTAAGTGTGAGAAATATGCAAAACTAGAAGACACCAGGAAAGGGGCAAATACTTCACAGCATGGTAGCCAGACCTGTGTCCACCATGCTGTCAGTGCTGAAAAATGTTTAATTAATTTATTGTGTTAGCTTATTTAATGGGGATCATGTACAACACAACTGTTGGACCAGAGTTAGTTACAGAGCTAATTTACATTCCTGGGCAGGAAGGTGGAAAAAACTTAACTTACCTAGCACTACTACTGTTTGTTATTGAATGCCTTTTTAAAATGAAAATGTATTAGTGTGGACGTAGCCTCTTAACCAGGTTGTAAGTGTTTTTAGGCTGCAGCATGCTGTGCAGTTCTGTATTTCATATTAACTTGTTTGATCCTTACTCCTGTGAATCCCCCTCACAGCTCTGACTGAAATCTGCTCACACTTAGTTTCCTCACATGTATTGCAGCTCTCATCCAGTCCTGGATGTCCAGAGCCCGCTGGATGCTCAGATCAACCTGAAGCTGCAGAACATTCTCATGTTGCTAAAGAGATGCTGTAACCACCCTTACCTGGTGGAGTACCCCCTTGACCCCACCACACAGGAGTTCAAGGTAACGTACAATTTACCTGTACTACTTGATACAACACATGCTGTTTTGGAGTACTTCCAGGTTTTGTGACTAGAAGCAAAAATGAAAATATGTTGAATTATACTTAAACAGTTGCTGAAAAGCAGGACCTAAGCAGATCAACACAATGTTGCTTATTAGTGATGGTAAAAAAGCAGAGTTGGAGCGACTGCATCTTCTCTGACATGTTCCTTCCATACATACTGTCCTCCCTACAGATTGATGAGCAGCTGGTGCAGAGCTCTGGAAAGTTTCTCATCCTGGACAGGCTGCTGCCAGCACTGAAGGAAAGGGGACATAAGGTGAGACACGACCCCAGCGGCCAACTTAGTAACCTCATGTTACATGGTATTCGTTTCTAAAAGTTTCAGATGTCACTGAAACCAATACCATTATGCCGTTTGAACACGTACAGTGGAAAACTGTTCAGAACCTAATTATTGAGACCTGAAAATAAGTTTCATTTAAAGTACCTGAAAGAAACAGATTCTGCTTTTAATTAGGCTTCAATTCCTTGAGTCAGTTAATGGTACCTATTCTACAACTTATAGCTCCAGATGAGAGGGAAAGGCTAATTCCTGTTTTTAATCAAAATCTGTCTACAAAAAAATGGACAGTTATTTATGTGTTTGAGGTGTAATAGTACAGAAATAACACTATTCAGGATGTTTTCAGCACAGCAGAAGAAATTTATAAATATGCATAGCATTTTTTCTATTCATTTTTTCATATTTAAAAAAAAATTAAAATATTCAGAAGTGCCTAATTGCTCTTTTTTATTTTTTATTTTTTACTGTAATTGTTCAGGCACTTAAATCTCCACATGTGGCATGGTGGTTGGCCACTTGACCTATTCAGTGTGAGTAGAGGAGTTGTGCATCCTGGCTGCAATAAACCTCAAAATGAGCATGTAGTGTTGATTGCTAACCCTTCTAGCAAGCTGTGGATGATGGGCAAAACCTTGTTCATCATCAAAACTTTTGAGGTGAAGCTCAAGCTCCACAATTGTTTTCTGGGAATGCAAGTGTGGTGGATATAAACATGACAGCTCTGGTAAAATAGTAATTTTCCCCCTGTCTTTTATTGTGAAGTTGCCATGTTTTTTTGGTTGGGAGTCTTTCAGTGTGGCACATCTGGGCAATATTTTCCCACTGCTCTTTGTAAAAATGTTCTAGATCTGTCAAACTGTGTCTCATATGCTCAGCTCTTTTCAGGTCACCCCACTGATTTTCAAATAGCTTCAGGTTTGGTTCTGCCTAGACCATTTCAGAACAATGGTCTTCATGTGGTGAAGCTGTCACTTTGTTGATTTGTATGTATGCTTTGGGTTGTTGTTGGGCTGGAAGTCCTTCCATTTACAGGTAAACTTCTGAAGGTTTTACATCAATATTGACTCGTATTATAGAGCTGTTCATGATGCCCTCCACTTTAACTAAAGCCCCAGTTCTGGTTGAAGAAAATCAGCCGCAAAACGTGATGCTGTCACCACTATGCTTGCTCATGAATATAGTTTTGCTAATTTGCTGCGTTGGTTTGGCGCCAAACATTTCTTGTGGAATTGTGACCAAAAGTTTAACCTTGATCTGATCAGATCAGAACATACTTTTTCACTTGGTTTCAGGGGAAAATTTAGCCGAGCATGAATGTTTTCTTCAATGTCATTTTGCAATTGTGCCCCATTGCATAGACATATGATGAAAACGAGAGATTGTTGTCACATGCTAGCAATTATCAGTATTAGCCATAAAGTTACTACTCCTTCAATGGGGCCATTAGCCCCTTAGCAGCTTCCCTTACCAGTTTTCTCTTTGTCTTCCTATCAATTTTGTTAGGAGATCATTTTCTTGGTAGTGGTACTGCTGTGCCACTTGTTTCCATGGGTTTTTATTTCTCCTCACTATGCTCAATGGTAAATGAAATGCCTTGAATATTCTTTTGCACCTCCTCCTAATTGGTATCTTATAACAACAACATTCTGTTCATGATTTGAAAGCTGTTTGCAAACCATGGCTTTGCAATCAGAGGCAAACAAGATGTCAGGATAATCCCACAGGAACGGCTTATCTTCATTGAGACTCCATCGTGTCATTTGATGGCAGGTGTATACTAACTCCTGTTTAACCTGAGATTGAAATGAATTTGTCAATTCAGCACACAGCCATATCTTCAATTATAGATGGGTATATTCACTTATGCAACCACAGTTTTGCAAGTTTTTGGTTTGATGTTTGTCCTCTGAAAGGTTTCTGATGTTTTCACTTTCTTTGCTTACGATGCAATTACACAATAAAGGTGAAAAAAGTTCTGACATTCTTTACATCACAAAACCTGACCATTTTAACAGGTGTGTAGACTTTTTGTATCCACTGTATGTTGACATCAATCGACTTCTGACAGGAACTGTGGGGTTGACAGGGCATCGTGAACCAAGTAAAGCTCATATGGAACTACTCCTAATTTTATTTAGGATTAGGAGCTTTAGCATGTATTAGCACATTAATTTTTCAGTGAACCTCAGTGTGTAGTGTGAAAGGTACAGTCTTTACATCTATCGGATACTGTCCTGATGTGTCCTCTGCCATGCTGTTTGTTGCTTTAGATTTTTTTCCCATACAGTGTAGTTCTGATGTTTGAGTTGTTCACTGTTGTGTTCCAGGTACTGATCTTCAGTCAGATGACGTCCATCTTGGATATGCTGATGGATTACTGCTATCTGCGGGGATTTCAGTACAGTCGACTGGATGGCAGCATGTCCTACGCTGACAGAGATGAAAATGTGAGTTTTAAACGGTAAACAGTGAGACTGATGCAGAAATGCTTAACTTCCTTTCTGGTGAACAGCTTATAGTATTTTCACCTCATTAGGCGAGATGGTGTGACACTGTGAGGATCTTGTGTAGATCCACAAATGTAAGGCATCAAAACTGCTGCTCTCAACGGATGTCAGTGTTTTGGTTTGATCTGATTCTTCTTCTTTCCCAGATGACCAGGTTTTCCAAAGATCCAGAGGTGTTTATCTTCCTGCTGAGCACCAGAGCAGGTGGACTTGGGATCAACCTGACAGCTGCTGACACCGTTATCATCTTTGACAGTGACTGGGTGGGTGCAGATTAAAAATAATTTGTAATGCACTTGTTTCTGTGCATTGTTTGTGTTAAATTGGTGTTAAATGTTGCTTCCTTCCTACCTCTCAGAACCCCCAGGCAGACCTACAGGCTCAGGACCGCTGCCACCGCATCGGGCAAACTAAACCAGTGGTGGTGTACCGCCTGGTCACAGCCAACACCATCGACCAGAAGATCCTGGAGAGGGCTTCTGCCAAGAGGAAACTGGAGCAGATGGTCATCCACAAGAGTGAGTGGCGTTACCTTATTGGAATACTAGGTTGCCATACAGGACCCCCCTTCAAGCACTGCAGCAGTGGCTTAACTTTAACAACTTTGATGATTGTTTCTAAATGTTTTGTTGCTTTCCTTCACAGATAAGTTCAAAGGTGGGAAAGCAGAGCTGAACCAAAGCAAAAGTTGCATTGATCTGGATGAACTGAGGGAGCTGCTTAAAGCCGGAGGCACTGAGAAGTGAGGAATGATTCTCTGCACCAAGTTAAAATGTTTGGAGATCATAAAGAATAACAACAATGAATCTTTAACTTGTCCACATTAGTCGTGTGTAACATTTGGTTGTCATTTTTTGTCCCACTCAGGGAAGTGAAAGCTTCAAAGGGGAAGGTGATCAGTAACAATGACCTGGAGATTTTGCTGGATCGCAGTGACTTGCTGGGTGAGGATATGAATTAAATCTTGCTTCGTATCACAGGCCCAACTGTCCTCCTAGTCACTTATACTTCTTTACTATTAAATACAAAACATAATCTTTATAGTCATCAAAAAAAAGTTTCTCGGTAATGTTAGTTAAAACCCTATTCATGTTCTTTGTTTGCCAGTTGAACTTGTTTCAGGTCTTGTTCCTGTACTCAAATGTTTTTCACCTGTAATATATATATATATATGTTTGTTTGTTTGTTTTTAATTTTGGTATGTGAATATAGACATTAACTATGCGTCTTAATGTCTCCATTTGTTAAATGTTAGATCTGATGTTAAAGAGGAAAATTTAGGGAATAGAGGATTAGAGGCCAATGGGCTCAGATGAAAGAATATTTGCCAGTCAAAGTATTTTCTAATTTGGTACCAAAGCTTCAATGAATGTGATACTACTGGATGTGATTTCAGAATATGGTGTGCTTCTAAAGAGACAGTTTACAATCAAAAGATATTACATTGTTTTCTTTTACGAGAACAGTTACACGAAAAGGAAAACAAATGTTCAGTACATTTCTTGTCCTGTCTCATTTTCTTTGGTTATCTCCAATGACAATGGCCATTTTATTAGTTTAACCAACATGTTTCCACTGAACCTCAAAATGTATCTAGCCAAGCAGGCCCTTTAGTTTCCACTATGGCAAAAGAGAAAATATACACATTTCCTCTGTAGCTTTAGCCAAATTGAATGGCCATTACATAATTGTTATCAATTCAGTGATCTGTATTGACCGTTGATTCTGCTGTAGTCTTGTTAACTTGTTGTCTGTTAACTTCTGAGCTGAAGTAAAACATTCTTTGTATTTGTAGACAAAGAAAAGGGGAGCAAGAAGAAAGAGAAGGTGGGAGTCTTCAGAGTGGTGGATGCCAAAGAGCTGACAGAAATCACGCTGGCCTGAGAATACTTGGAACAATGCAAAAAACTAAACTTCCATCCAGATGGTTTATAATAGCTGTCACTTTCAGAGAACACTTTAAACTGCTGTTTGTAGCTTTGAATCTGTCTTTCCCATTCTTAACTGCCTTGATAGTATTCTGTGTAATTGTTTTTTGCTGTTTTGTTGCTAACGTGGTCTATAGTGTTTAACCCCTGTGCCCTTTTTTTTTTTTTAAGACTGAACTGACTTTGGGGTTTTTGAACACTTAATTTTATGGCAAAAGTTAGAAAAACACAATAGTTCAGAGAGCCTTGATGCTCCCAGCAGTGGCATTAAAACTATCACATCACTGGTCTGATTCGTTTACTTTCAGAGGACCAGTTACATACTGTTCAATATGTTTAAGAGAAAAGCCTTTTGCATGTCAGTGAAAGTGTCCTGTCCTTTAACATGCACAGCATGGATCACTGAAACAAGTGGAAGCTGCAGTGATGGGATTAAGTCGGGTTAGTACGCTTCATTTTTTCTAGTTTGTTCATTTAAAGCAGATGAATCTGTATTATCTTTGCCAAGCTGTCCTCAAGGCACATTTGTGCATCTGAAGCATAGTTCTGTCTTTATATAAATAAAGCAATTTCGCACATCTCTTGTTTTTCAACTTGCTGTTAAGGTATTGTCCTGTCAGGTTCGGATTTATTGTAATAAGTGTAACTGCTCTTCATTTTCATTTTTAAGCCTAAAAACTATGATGTTACTGTTAGGCTTGGTGCACACTGCTTCCATATTTTATGATGCAGGACATATAGTTTGAGCTTTACAACCTTGATCATTTCATTGTAATAAAATGGGAACAGCACTCCCAGACATCAGCAAATGACCTACCAATTTGACCTAGCCTCTATATCCTCTAGTTCCCAAATCTAATTGAGTATGTGTGGGATAGTATGATTTTTTTTTTTCACATCAAAACACAAAATGATTTTTTTGAAATACTTTCCTATGGTGTTTTTTTGTTGTTTTTTTTTTTTAAATCACATACATTACAGTATTTCCATGATGTACTACATCCTGACATTTTGACGACATTCTGTACTATGACCTTTTTTAGGAAAAAATAGTGACTTTTTTTTTCACATGAAAACACAAAATGTTTTTTTTCTGTGAAATACTTTTTCAAGGTGGTTTTTACCACATACACTACCGGTCAAAACTTTTAGAACACCCTAATTTTTCCAGTTATTTATTGCAATTCAAGTTGTACAAGTGCAATGAATAGCTTGAAATGGTACAAAGGTAAGCACTGAACAGCCAGAGGTTTAAAAAAAATGGTTTGGTTACACAAAACCGAAAAATAATGTACATTTCAGAATTATACAAAAAGGCCTTTTCCAGGAAACATGAAGTGGGTTAACAATTTAAAGCTGTTCTGCAGCAGTGAAGGTTGAAACAGCCTTAAAAGCTGGTGCTACTAATTCCTACAGGTGTTCCAGCTTTTCTTGATTACATA